GATAATTGATTGGTCTTGTAAATTTGATGTTTACTTTGAGATCATTTACCACATCATCGATTAGTGGTCATACATCGATGCACATCATTAGGTTCTGCTCTGTGATATTCCGTCATTAGTTCATAATCAGTTAACCGCAATCAAAACGTAATAGAGTCCTATATCTGTCTGCAATGATATTGTTAGTACATGAGATGATGGTTCGAATGGAATGCGTTGATAGTTGTTACAGAGACGACCATTACTGCGATCCATCATTCTGTGTCAGGTGAGCACAGATCCGGGATCGATGGAAATTATTCAGATGGACGCGGTCCGCATAGTAATTGATATTTGTACCGGATTGTAAATAATTCTCATCGCGACCGCGTTTGTTCTGCGAATTTGGATACCGGATGACAACAACCGATTAGCTGGAATGGCCAGAATTGAAATTCTACCCAAAAGAACAATTCTATTTTACGCGTGTTTGATTGATATTGTTTTAAACAAATTAATCAGAAATTTGTTTATTTACGCAAAGCATTATTTATTTACATTTTAAGGAATACATGAATATTTGGGTATAAATAAAAATTATTATTTTATGGTGGAATTTTATCCTTTTCATTTTTTATTCTTTTAAATGTTTTATTCTCTGCGTTTGATCTGTGACAAAAAAAGTCATTTATTGTACATACATCGAAAACGTTTGCTGCAAAAATGAAATAAAATAATAGGTCAAAGAATTTGCAATATTTCGAATTGCGAATTCGAACGAGGCGAAAATATTCCGAGTTTTTTTACACAATTTACGCTCCAATTGGCTAACGTTCCATGTCGCATTTACAAATAAAATTCGCTTTTTATTAATTACCGCCTTAAATAGACGATGGTTTTGGTATTTCTTTTACACAAATTGTTTTTGTGATTTAATTACATCATATTTAGGGATAAATTTAATCCTATTTTATTTTATCGACCTTACAGATTCCTACTCAACTCTCAAGCTCCCTATATTTTGAATAAGAGTTCTGTTTCTAAACTAAATCAATATTTTTGCAGAGGCGCGCGCAGAAATTTTAGGAGGCCCCGACAAAATCATTAAAACAGGGTCCTCTCTGCGTTTATCCTGCATTCTGCGACGTTCAACGGAACAACCGGAGTATATATTTTGGTATCATGGACAAACAATGATCAACTTTGACCTAATAGGTGGCGCTGCGATTCGGCATGGTCGCCAAGACAGCGAACTCTACATTCCAAAAGCTGAAAGTATCCATGCAGGAAACTACACGTGTATGCCATCAAATACTCATCCTGTAAGCGTAACAGTTCACGTTCTACAAAGTAAGTGGAGAAACCTGCGCAATTAATATTGATTTAAAAAATGGGTGTATCCCATTTTCTGGTTATTTCACTCGTTTAAAAATTAAAAATAAATCGATTTTAGTAATTACAATTTATATTTTGTAAATAGGATTTACTAATTTGTTTCCATTATATAGCGACAAAATGTATTTTGTAAAGAGTATTATTTGGTGAAAACGCGATAATTAAAATTGATAAAACTATCAAATACGTGAATTCATTAATATATTTGTGATGTAAATGTTTATTCAATGATTCCAATTTCACCCCATTCTATTTACTTACCCAATCGAGATATATTTATTTTTAAATTCATTTCTGATTTTTCATTTCGATTATCATAAAACGTTTTCCCCGCAAAAAAAAAGAAAAAAAACTTAAAATTGCCTTGAACAACCGTTTTAAATTTTTCAGATGAAAAACCAGCCGCTATGCAGCACGGCAGCAAAAACATCAGCACGACCACGTCGACGACGACATCGTCTTCCTGTCGCTGTTGCTTGACGTTTCGCAGTTCCATTTCAGTTCTCCTGCTGAATATTTTCGTACACGTATCCCCCAGGTGATGGATATGTCGCTACGTGACCGCAATGTGAACGCGTCCTGCTTCCAACGAAACCACGACCAAAGGAAAAAAGCTGTTATAACCAACGAAACTGAATACAGACGAAGAGAGACCAAAGATTAGCACCTGATAAAAATTTAAAAGGATAGGTTTGAATGGGAAATCACAAAGTTGGTGCCACAAATTTATCTTTAGATTTTAGAATTAAATAATTTCATGTTTAAGAAAATAAGTAATTTTAAGCAAATTTATACCCAATTTATATAATAATATAACGTAAACATTTAAATATTTCCATATAAAACGACTTTAAAAACACTATCAAGAAACATATTAAAATATTCAGTAAGGTGTTTCTTTCGTTTCGTATTTAAATTGGGAAACTAGCGATGGTTTCACACGTTTAAACCGCTTTCAACGTTTAATATGTATATATTTTTTTCTTGCGAGCGAAAACTGCAGATGGGGAAACGTGTACTGAATGCCAATGAGGGTAGAAAAATGGAGAAAAAGACGCTCGGACTTTCGACAATAAGTACTGTAAACAAGATAGTATTTTTTTCTGTGACAAATGTTACCCATTCTTTTCTCTACCATTTTAACGTTAAAGATAAAAACGAAATTGTATTTTATTATTCTTGGATTTAAGTTTAAAGTAAATTTTTAATGCTCTTCAAGTCGTTTGTTTTATATTACCCGATTTCTAGAATTAACTAGATTAGTTAACGAAATAAACATTTTTATTGTTGTAACCTGATGTAACATGTAAATTAATTATAATCCCTTAGATACACATAATTCGTATTAAAGTAATGTTTAAATATGGTTTATAAATAAGGTTCTGAGAGAATATAAGCACTTGTTAATAAGCTGTACATATTAATATGCTATGAATAAGTAGTCAGGCCGTTTAAGCACTTAGCATTGAAGGCAAACCTTTACATCAAGAAGCTAATAACTTTCACATCGTTGGGAGTTTAACACGATATCACAAATACTTATGTAAAGCGCATTTTCCACCACCTTTATCTAAAACTGAAGAACCCGAGCACACAGATATCGTAAAAGTCGATAGACGATTTAAGAAAGAAAGATGAGGCAGAGATAGTGTTAACTATGTGATGGGAGTACTCGAGGCAGGATGTGATGGGTAAAGAATTCTTCGTTTGAAATGGAAAATTGTAGGATGGTGCTATGAATTTAAGAAGTGTGATAGAAAGACGCAGAAATAGTTTGCAAATTGTAAAGAAATGGGTGTTTAGAGTGATCATACAATAAGATGCATAAAATACCCCATGTTTAAAGGAGAGTTAAAAACACGAGATTGACCAATAATGAAACAATGAATAACAAACCGGTATCACAAAAAAAGCGAATGAAAGTCCAGAGAGATGGCGAAAAGAGAGAGATGAATGTGATTTGTATGAATCGGAGAAGCTAGTCGAAGCGAAGAATGGAAGGAAGTGCATACAGTAAGATCTAAAGATAAAATGTAAAATAAAGGAAGTAAATTGTACTAATGGCTAAATAAATAATAGACTATTTGGAAAGGAAAGCTATAGAGGAAGATTGAAAAATTATCAAGAGAAAGTAGAACGAATGGAGAACAGAAAAATTAATTGAGATTATGAGGAAAGCAATGGCGAAGAAAGAACGTTCAGAAGTGGACAAGGATTGAAAATAAACGAGTGACGGGAAAACAAATACTATGAAGCGAAAATTAAGGCAAGAAGATAGAGAAAGGTGAAGAAGCAGAGATTCAAGACACGAAAGGCAGGAAGAGATATAAGAATGCATATAAGGTAAAAATGGCAGTGGCAGATTTTAATTATAATTCCAGTTTACAAAGACGACCAAAAACTTTATGCAAAGGCTGAGGTATCAAAAAACTATCAGTTTTTGCTTGTTTCTGATAATTGCTTGCGTGGCAACTTAATTCGGAACTAAATATAGAAACTTAAATCTATAACAAACTGGAAAATGCACCGAAAAAGAAGATCAATAATAGGCTATATAATATAAATATACAAGATCAATGAGAGATAATCAGGAAATTAAAAAAAAAACAAGGAAAACAGAAAAGCAACATTAAAATCAAAGTAACGTTCTAAAAACATCAAATAAAGAAATTTTACTGGCCTGGAAAGAATAATACCGGACAAATTTTAAATAGTAAGAAACGACACAAACGCCACGTGAAAATTAAGAAAGAAAGGAAGATGAAGAAATGAAGAGGAGGAGACACAAGATATTGACAAAAATAGAAGAAGTAGAAGAAGCCCTAAAGATAATGAGTAATGGAAAGAATATCTATACAATCAGAACACTAACAGATAAAACAATAGAAATGGGAATGCATCTATATCTATCTTTTGTGAACTTACTTTTAAACCAAAAATTACAAAGAACAATTAAAAGTGTATCTAATAAGGCAAAAGTCAGTGGTATGTCCGAAAACTTTAGTATGGCAAAAGATATGAAACAAGGGGGCAGACTGAGATCACTACTATGTGTTAACATTCATGGATCAAATAACTAATAAATGTAAGATCCTCCACAACAGGTTATTGCTGACTACATTACATTACGTAAATTACATATCGGGTAGGCGGACCAACCAATCTTGCACCGCGACCCTAAGGATCTATTGTACCCCGATAGATAACGTTATCATGTTTCACCGTGCAGTCCAATGCTCTTAACGAACTTAATTAATATCTAGCTCGGTAAAAAGTCATTCAGATCCTTTGGGAGATAAACTGCGACCCAAAAATCGAGAATCTGATACGATTAACAGCAGGGTAGTGGCAAAAAACATGTTCAACCATCTCCTCGTCCTCCGCACATAGTCGGCATTCAACATCGTCGGCTAGTCCCAACAAGTTGAGGTGTGTTTTTAATCGGCAGTGCCCAGTAAAGACACCCATTAGAACTTTAATACTGCTACGAACAAGTCCTAAAATATTCCCGGGTTTTAAAGTTGCAATCTTAAGAAACACCTTAGCATGTCTCATTCCAGGAGAACTCGTCCACAGTAAACGAAGTCTCTCTTCAGCGTACAATCAAGTCCTATGTTTGGCCATCGCAAATAATATACCAACACCTAGCTCTGGCCCCACAAACGCTTTAGCGCTTTAGCACTCTCATGCTAGCTCATCTGCCGGTTGATTGCCAGCAATCCCAGAGTGATCTGGGACCCAGATCAGAGAAATTCTGTTATCACAACTCAGTGTGTTTAATGTTCTTTTACAGTGGCTTTTACAGTAACTTGACTGTCTGAAAAAAATACTACTGTCATATTCTTCGCCCCTCTTTCAAGAAGGATTTTAGCACCCATGTTAATAGTATATACTTCCGCCTGGAATACAATACAGTACATACCAAAGCTGTAAGCTTGCTTAATCCGAAGTGTCTAGCAGTATACGCCCCGACCCCTTCCGGCGTGTTTGATCCATCTGTGAACATGCAAATATCTGCCTGAACGATAGAATTTTTGTTTTCGATCCAGGACTGCCGTTCAGGCAGTATAATCTGGTATCGAGCATTAATCACTGACAGTGATCCCGTCAAATCTGATGGCATTGGTAGCACAATATCAGTGCTTATGTCTTCCGCAGCCCATTGATAGGACATGTCGGAACAGTTTTGAGCATATTGCTTAAATCTGACGGTATAATGCTGATAGCAAATAAGAAAACACTACAAAGAAAAAATTACATCTGGAAAGCCAGTTTAGAAAAAAAGAGAATGTTAATAATATATAGGAAAACCACAAGATTAGCTGCACAATATTATGCACTTAACGAGAAAATGAAATCATAAATATACAAGTAAACGAAAGAAGAAGAATATAAAATAATGTTAGATCAAATTTTGACAATGAAAAATAATTAAACAATAAATATAGTTTTACTTCTCTTCCCTAGAATCCCTAAAAGGCAATTTAACATGTATTGTGACGCTTAGCGTACGCGATTAAATCCTAAATTGTCATAACATTCCAAGCTTGTGAGTTGCAACAAAAACTGTCAGAATTTGCTTTGCAGCAATAGCGAATAATCCTGCAATATATCGCACATGTCAAAATTTGTAAATATTGTTGATCATAATAAATGACTAAATGATGGATTAAGAATATTTTGATCTAATTTGACAGAAACGTTATTAATAAGGAGGAATGCTTCACTCTTTGTGGCACAGATTCTAGCGATTTTCTTTGGAAGCGCCATGACTCAAATAAACTGCAATTCGTTGCTGTAGAGCTTGTACAGTATTCCTCAGTTTTCTCCCCATAATCTTATAAACATAATCGATGGGCAATATAAAATTAATTTACAGTTCCAGTTTGTTTAAGCAATTTTGTGTAAGTGTAAATATTGTTGAAAAAAACATCATAAATCTGTATTTATTTACATTTTATTAAATAAATATTTTATAATACATGTACATGATGATAATAATTAGACGATATAATAACAGCTTTTCGAATACATTCTACCCAAGTATTTGAGACAAAACGATCCATAAAAATGTGACAAAAATCCGAGTATTATTTAGTATCGATTACGAAAACAAATCCGTTCATTTTTTAATGCATATTTCCCCAAAAATTTATATTTAATATTATCTTCCAACTATGTTACATTATTGTTACTAGACTTTTTATTTCATAAAACAGAACGAAACGTGATGGAATGTGCTTGAGATTAATAAACATGAGGATTATTTTGAAAAGATGAACATACACATGTACGATTTTGTTTTATTTTTTCTTTATTTTGTATCTAAATAACGCTCATTCAAAGTTAGTTTGAACATCGTTGAATTTTTTCTAAAACTAAATCTCAGTATAATAAAAAATAAAACAATCGAAAATAAATGATTTACAATAAGACGATTACATTTAGTTTAAGGAATGATAACAAGTAATATAATATCAAATTCAACAACACTCAAACTTTTTATTTAAAAGATAAACTCAACGCTCACATTTTTATATTAATAAATATTTGTAACCGTTTCATATTTATTTCTGTTTGTAATTTATAAAATTCCTAATGAATAAAAGTTCTTTTTTTATATATATCACGTGTAGTTTACAAGATATTAATCCCCTTTACTTATTGTTACTATCAAATCACTGAGGTTCGACGAGATCCCATTCACTTTTTAAATCTTAAATTAATTTATATTTAAAAATCGTCATGGACACCAACACAAAAACACGTTTCATTTCATTCTATTTTAAACGGCCCCAATATAAAGATTTTTTTAATTTATACGTTTTATTAATTATTATACGATTGCTGGTATTCAGTTCATTTTATTAAGGAATTTTTATGATATTTTATTTTTTAATTTTTTGGAAACTTTACTTTTATCTTTTTTGTTTAATTCTTCTCTTTATCGAAACATCCGTATCGACGTCCTTATTATTGGCGAAAAAACTAGGACAAAAACAGTGTGGAGAAAGTTAAGATCATCAACCACGACGAGGGGCTGCATTGTAACCAGGATAATCCTCGTCCTCCGTGTTGCATCGCTGCTGGATTTTCACCTAAAACAAAAAAAAATAAAATTAATTACGACTTATAAAACCTTTAACATCAAATTATACAGACTCATTAAAGGGGTACTACAAAATTACCCTCTTATTGAATCAGACACAAAAACATTGATTAAAGACTTGTCAGAGGTCGCTGAAACAGATAAACACGAAGTTGGGGGCGTCGATCGTTGATCTCATTGTCCTCAATTTCTCGTCGTCCTACGTTATAACGAGAAATGTTAACAATCGTCCCATCACCTCCTTCTCTTGATTTAGAATTGACAATCATTCTCTCTCTTCGCGTGCGGTTTTACTCCCGATCGTATCGTGATTAAGCGTGATTTACTGGTAGGGCGGAATAGGACTTTCTAACCGAGAGTTACTAATAAAGGCGGGTGCGAACGCGGATTAACATGGGTTTTTTTTTTCGAAAACGTCCCCGTTCGTTTAAATTGTCATCCGGGAATAGGAGGGAGTTAAAAAACCGGATGTGGTAATAGTAATTTATGGCACAATTAATTTTTGCGCTTCTGCTAAACTTTTTTTATCGTCGCTAAATTTCGCACTTAATTAGAGAGATAGGATCGAATGGAGTGTATGTTTGCGAAGCGGGTTTTATGGGTGATTTATGACCCACGATTTTTTTGAATGGATAATTTTTGTAATTGTGAATTAAAAGGTTTTTAAATTATTACAAATAAGTTATTCTTTCGTATTAAGCTTAACTGGAGAGAACTGTGAGAAAACAAATAAACCGATTTTGGAAACGAATAACAACCGAATCAAAACAAACAAGATAAAGTAATAAACTTTTAAGTAGTAAAATATTAAATTAATGTAGTAAATTCAATGCTTAGGGATTATTTAAGAAAAGTTTCGGATCCTAACAGAATCCACGTCAAAGACTTATTGAAATAAATATTGGAAGAAGGAGGCGTGAAAAAATGTATATTGGACGTGTTATGATAATTTTATGGTGTCTGCAATTTGATGATAATAATAATAATAATAATCGCTTTATTGCCTCACAAAAATAAATAAATACAAAGAGAAAAAGTACAAAAAATATAGATAGTAGTAAAGACAGAGAAACAAGAATATTACGACTCACCGACAATGTATGATTGAAATGTGAACTAATACTTTGGACGAGCGAGAAATACACAATAAGAAAGAAATTCGGTAACACCCCGACTTATGTAAATTTGGAGATACGTAATTACCAACTTGTCCGTCATTTTTTGTCGGCTATTCCCTTATTTCGCTCAATAGCAGATTGAATCCTAAAATTTCCTCCTTCATTCTGTGAAAGTTCTTTATTGAGAGTTGATCAATTGCCTATTAGGCCAAAATACTATATCGTCATCATCCTCATCGTCCAGCCATTAACATCCACTGCTGCACATAGACCTCCGTCATTTTTATCTAGTTCTCTCTATCCTGCGCGTTCTACAGTATTTGCCCGAATATAAGGCGAGGTTTTTTTCAAGAGAATTAGGCTCAAAATTACCACTCGCCTTATATTCGGAATTTTACCGACAAATTAAAAATGATGTGTTAGCACAGAAGCAAGCGTAAGCGGGCTCAAAGAGTGTGATTCGCTTCCAGTCTGCTACTTATGTAAATAGGGGAAGCCCCTAAATGCTTACGGCCGATGTGAAGTTGGGTAGATAAGGCGCGCTTTTGTTATTCGTTAGCAAACTCTTGTACGGATTAGACTTGTTGAGAGTGCCGCATCAGTTATGTGCGATCGAGTTGAAAAACGGAGTACGTCAAAAGGTCAAATAGATAAAAATATCCGAAAAAGCTATGATGCCAATTTTAAAATTATGGCTATTTGTGAAGCAGAAAAAACAAACTATTGTGCAGCCGCTAAAAAGTATGGTACAACAGAAACCAATATTAGACGTTGGCGACTACAAAAAGAAAATCTTTTGAATGCTCACTCAACACGAGAATCCTTTCGAGGATCCAAAAAAGGTCGATTTCCAGAAATTGATGAAATTGTTGTTGATTTTGTAAATGAAATGCGTGAACAAGGATTTCCACTAACAAGAGAAACAATTCAATCGGCTCAAGAAATAGCTAAAAGCAATATCTCTCAAACTATACGTTTTTGGGAGTGAGGATTGACTCGAATCTGTCATCGAAGTACCACATCAATGATCTGGCCATCAAGATAAATCCTGTGTGTTTTGTGTTGAAAACAATTACTCAGTTAATGCGCGTGTAGAATCGCGACTCAGGGACGGTATTTTCTTGGGACACTCAGTTGAAATTAGGCGCGTTTTCATTGCTCAAAAAAAAATCCGTGAGAACAGTTTTTGGTCTCCCAATGAGAGAATCATGTAAACCCGTTTTTAAGTATCATAAAATTCTAACACTACCATCTATAATAATTCTTGAATCAGCAATGTTTGTAAAGAAAAATTATACTTTCTTTTTAAAATATGAACAGCAACATGGATATGGAACAAGGGGTATGGAAAATTATTACTTACTGCCACCAAAAACACAGTATGCCAAAGTGCAAAAAAGTACTGTTCATTTTTGTGTTAAAGTATACAACCACATACCTAATAGTAAAAAAATTAAACCTAATAGTATAAAATAAATCGTCTATGTGTTTAAAAAATTATCTAAAGCGTTATCTTTTGGAAAAAACACTGTATACAGTTAACGAATTTTTTTGCTGTAAATTTACCAGTGATGTAATATTGTGAATTTTTTCTTTGTGACGTTTTCTATGCTTTTTTGTATTTATAGAAATAAAGTATTAATTTTTGTATTAAATAAATTTATTATGATTATTATATTTAAGGCAAGTTATGAATGGTGCAGAAGAATGATGGTTAGGAGTAGATTATGTTTGCAACGTCGTACAACGTTAGCCCAAAAACTTGCTAAAAACTTTGAGGAAAAACTACTTGAATATCAACGTTATGTAATAAACTTAAGAAAACAGCACAAATATCCTTTAAACTTGATATGTAATGCGGATCAAACATCAGTATATTTTGATATGGTTTCAAATTATCAAATTATAATATTAAATATTCAAATCTGTTCTAATCAAAACAACAGGAAATGAAATTATGTTAGTAGTACTTGCTGACGGAACAAAACTTCCTCTTTATGTGGTTCTTAAAAGAAAAACCATGCCAACGGACAAATTTCCAGATGGAATTATAATTAGGGTACAAGAGAAAGGATGGATGGATCAAGCACTGGTTATAGATTAGATAAGATGTGTTTGGGCAGATCAACAAAGGAATGATGGGGAGAGAGCAATGCTTATATTGGATGCTTTTCGGGGTCACCTTACACAACAAGTGCGGGAAGAAATTAAGAAGCAAAATACAGATGTAGTCATTATTCCTGGTGGTATGACTTCACAACTGCAGGTTTTAGACGTTGTAGTCAATAAACTCTTTAAGGGTCACTTAAAGAAACTGTTTTCAAATTGACTTCAGTGAAATGATCATCCACTTACTCCCAGTGGAAAAATTAAAAAAACCACAAATTGCAATGCTATGTGAGCGGATCTTCCAGGCTTGGAACGAAATTTCATCAGAAAGCATTATTAAGGGATTTAAAAAATGTTGTGTTTTAAATGATTTAGAAAGTGCTGACAATGATGTCCTCTGGGATGATATGCAGCAAGACCAAGCTACTAGGGCTAGTAGTGATGAATCGAGTACTGAAGAAAGTGATGTGGAAGACGTATGTGAAATGAATGATAACTAGATATGTGTTGTTATTCAGTATATTTGACAACACTTTTACTTACTATTAGTAAAGTACATATTCTGAAACTTACCAATGTTTTCTTAATAGTATGCCACATACATTATATTTATAAATGACATTAAGGTAAGTATAATATATTTGTGCATATAAGTCGGTCGCCTTATATGCGCGAGTTTTTCATATTTTCAATATCCTTTTGGATATTTGGTGAAAATGTCGCTCCAAAAAGTAGGCGACCCCTTATATTCGAGTAAATACAGCATTTTTTTTCAAAAATACGAAAATGTAGTGGTCGCCTTATATTGGAGGTCGCCTTATATTCAGGCAAATACGGCATTTCGAATTTTGATATCGTCAGTCCAGCGTGTGGGTGGTCTTTCGCTACTTTTATTATCCATTGTCGGTCTCCACTCGACCAGTGTCTTTGTCCAGCTTCTATCCTTCAAACGGGGCATGTTCCATGCTCAATTCCATTTGATTCTGCAATTCGAGTAATCAGTAACTCACGTCCTTCTTCTTAGATCCTCGTTAGTCACTCAGCCGCAGAGCGAAGCACCAACCATTGACTTCTTCATTTTACTCTGTTTCATAATTCGCATTGGTCAAATGTTTTGCCATAAGCTGCATTTGTGCTTCAATTCGCTGTTTGATTGTCTCTCGAAATCTTTATTACGTGCCCGAGGTATATGTACTTTTCTACGAGGTCCACATCATTATCTTTAATGCTGAAGTTGTTATTAGAAACTAGGTTCGTCATGTATTTTGCATTTGTTGATTTTGAGTCCTGCACTGGCATCTACTCGGTGGAGATCACGCAGCATTATGTCTATCTCCTTAAGATTGTTGGAGAACAAAACTATATCGTCTGCGAAGTTGACGTGGTCATACTGGAGAGGACATACTTGAAGAAAGTGCGTTCAAAATGACTTAAAACCATACTGTATCAAAGGCTTTATAGAAATCCGCAAAAGCCATAACAAGTGACCCATTGCACTCGATAGTTTTTTCGATTATCATGTTGGTGCTATGTAAGTGATCGTTCGTTCCAAATCCTCTTCGAAATCCCGCTTGTTCCTTCGGGTGGTAGAAGTCAAATTTGTTTTCAAGGCTAGTTGTTAGTATTGTCGTGAGGAGTTTATATAAGTAACTGAGAAGCCTTATTGATCTATAATTTTCTAATTCGTGAGGGTTTCTTTTCTTATAGAACAGTATGACCTCAGCTTTTTGTCATCTGTTTAATACTGTGCTGTTAGAAAGGG